AGTCAGGGCCTGCCTAGCTGAGGGTCTAGGCCCAGTGCGGCAGTTGTCCTGACTGCCCGAGCGAACAGGACCCTGATACAAAGTGAGGATGTTTGTGACAGACCTTCTTGTGCTCGCTGAAACAACAGCCTCTCCTGTGGTAGACTCAGCGAAGGAGTTGGCCCAGATCACCAGAGCCAAATCATATGGACTTGACCTTTCTGAATGACTATGTGAGTGGCATGAGGCAAAACTGTGTGACTGTCCCTCTTGGGGCACAAACATACCTCCTGCCAATGCATGTTCCCCCACTGGAACAGTGATCTCACCTCAGTGGTCTCCACTCATTCCTCAGTTCCCCAACCAATAGCCCAAATATGGTGGCCACGGTCAGCTCTAGAGCTCCCTTTTAGGTCCTGGCCATTCTCAAAATTCAGCTCAGTAGCTGTGGCCTGATATGCTTCATCTGCTGCAGTCCTCATGTCCCTCCACTTTTTCCTGAAGGCCTCAAGTCCCCACAGTTCTCCCACCATAACCCATGCCCAAACCATCTATGGTCTGGACCACCTCAACCCAGCTCCGTGTCTTTCTCGATGCTACTGCATGCATGCAGGCCAGATAGGGAAGGGCCTTCCCACTGCCATCTAGCTGGTGGGTCCATCCACAGCCTTCTCTCAGGGCTTTCTCTCATATTTCCTTTCACCTACCTTGTGCTCTTGGATGTGAGTGCTGTAGCACCGCATGGTGATGGGGCTGTATATGTATTGCAGGCTCACAACATGTGTATCACCTGGAGGTTTCGAAGCCTTGCCTAAAAGTGGAATGACTAGGTGGGGCTCTGTGAGCAGCTAGATGTCCCACCTGTATCATCCCCCACACACCTCACTTAACAGACTTGCCACTCAGGTTGCTGATAGGACAAGACAAATGGTTCTGGATCTGGCCAGGAGGACTAAAGAAAGGAGAGTTTTGCCCCTTCCATCACACGAGGGAGGATTTGTCAACTCAGAAGATCCTCCCTTTTTATCCCATTCTGGGGAAAGGATATTTCCTTGCCAAAGAGCTAGCAGCAGTGTTAGGAGCTGGTGAGACATGGACATGCTCCAGTACTGTATGTTGTCCAGGCAGAGGAGAGTGCGGTGGCTGGGTCTAAACTTGTGTCTGCAAACTCGGGCTGGAAGAGATACGCCAGTCAAGGAGGTGGGCTGCAACCCAAAATCTGAGTGCAGCACAGAAGGGAAAAGGGGCAGAAACATGGTGGAAGAAAGGAAAGAAAGTTGTTGTTTCACCCAAGTACTGTGAGAGAGTTGTTTCCTGGGTTGTGGCAATGCAAAAACCCGTCAGCTTTCTCGCAGCCCCTTTCCAGGGTATTCATGTGATGGTAGTGCTCTCCTCCTGCCTGTGCCACTCTACATGGGGCTCAGCTTAGCTGCCTGGCTCCTTCCTCCCGGTAAGACACTGCTTCTTTGTCGTGGCTGGGATTGCCTTGGGGCTATGGGGGGGTTTGAACAGCCACCAAGTCACAGTCACCCTACTCTTAAAGCTTGGAGGGCTAGGCATATGGCCCCACAGCCATGCTCTGCCAGGAGAACTCACCACCACCAAGATTTTCTCCCTCATTCCCTATTCCACGTGGGCAAAACAGCCCTTCTTCCATCCCCCCCCCCTCGGCTCCATGGCGTCTCATTACCTTTTTTGCTCAAACTGTGGAAACGTTAATGGAGTAATGGCAGAGCTAGAGCACGCGTTTGCTGTTTGAGCTCAGCTGGAGCTTCTCTTGCTGTTGCGAGGGAGGCACGTGCCCCAGGGTACCTGCGTTTTCCCAGACCAACGCTCTCCAGACCCCTGACTCGAAACCTTGGTGTACCTGCCTCCTCAGGACAGCCCAGCTACAACCCTGCCTTTGCATGCTCTCATACGAGTCTGGATTTTACTTCATCTTCTTGCCTCAGTTCAGCCCAGGACTCTCTCCTCTAGCAACTTACCAAAAAAAAAAAAAAAATCTAAAAAGAAAGAGTTAAAAATTCATTTTCATTTTAGGACAGTTCACTTTTCCACCTCTTCAAGTAAAAAAGCTGTGGGAAGTGCAGCCATCAAAGCATTCAACACCCTGCGTGTTAGAGACCACCACTGCACACAGTCCCTTCAGTAACTACAGACTGGCACAAGGCTAAAATATCCCATTTTGTTGAACTTAGTATTTATTTCTGCTCATTTTGCAGGGATTCACCAAGGACTCAAAAAGAGAGGCCCCGGAGACGCAAGCATGACTTTTGCGTGCCTGCTCCAGGGGCCCTGGACGTCTCTTTGCTGAGCCCTGGGGCAGCGGAGAATACATGGTGCTTACCTACACACTGACTTCAGCGAGGAGCGAGGGCTTGAGTCACGCCACGGCTTTTGGAGGGGAATGTAGCCTCTGAAAAGCTTTGCTGGTCACACTCACTTTTGCACCAGCTGCCTGAGCAGAGAGGTTTTCTTAGCACTTACCACTAGAGAAGGAGTCCCGTGGCTTAATGGACCAAGGAGCGGGAGCTGTGCGTGCCCGCCTGCACGCACGCACGTCCACACGGGTTTCGATATGCTGGTAAATGACAGCCAGGGCTGCTCGTCCGCTTCAGGCAGGGCCTCGGGGGAACAGGTTTCCTGCTGCAGCATGTAGGTCGCTGTTTCTCCTGCGCTGTGCGTGCACAGGCACATCCGCAGGGAGGGGACAGGGGGCCAAGCGGGGTCCGGCAAGCAGAGGGAAGGGGAATTCAAAGGGGAGGGGGGAGAGGACAAAGTGGTCAGTGAATTCTGCTAGCGCTGCTGTAACTGGTCGGACTGGACGACCACCCCTGCAGAAGCGCCAGGACAAAACAAGCGTGTCTCAGCCCCCACTGATGCCTAAACCTCTCCAAGAGCAAAACTTTCCCAGGCAAACTCAGCCCGGTCAGCTATTCACATCAGCTATCACAGCCAGGAGAAGAGAGTGCAAATCTGCACCCAGCTCGGACTGTGGTGGCTTGCTCGGGTTGTTTTCTTGTTCATATTTAGATGACGCAGCTTCAGGGAGGAGCACAGCACCAGGATCCCATGGCCCTCAAAACCGAAACAGAAACCGGGGCCAGCTGCCTGAGACAACGACAAGGGTTGCATTTGCTACTTTTGGCTGCTGTCAGAGCCCAGC